GAAAAACCTCTACTAAAACAAAAAACAAACTTTCAGTCACAAGAGTGTTTGTTTGATTTGTGCATCTTTGCTTATCCTCTGTTCTTCTTGTCTGTCTTGTCTTTGCTGATAGTTGCACTGATGAGTTGTCATGGAAATGTGCTCCTCTTTGCTCAAAATGGGAAAGGATGGTTGGTGCTCTCAACTACAGTCGAACCTGCCCGGAAACCTGTCTTAGCGGAATCCCACCGCTCCCCCTTTGATATATTCCTCTTTAATTACCTGTATAAAACGGAAACCTGTCCTGTGCGAAAACGGAAAGGAAATCCGCTCCCTTCCGAGGGTTTCACGTGTCTAAGATGGAAATTACTTTGCCCTATCAGCCCTGATTTGAAACAAAACTCGCAAGTTTGGTTCCGCTGACTGTAAACTTAACGCCATGGCCATGCCGCTGGGCGAGGAATGGGAGTACGGGTGGGTGCAATTTGGGGGTAGATGTTACCCCATCATGTGAGCCCTGAGCGATGCAGATGGTCAATGTAGCGTGGGTGTGAAATTTCACGACTGCCCGTGAGAGTGCTCGAGTAGCGAGCCGCTACTGAAACTTTTCTGGGCTGCCAGAAGTGTGAAATTAGAATTAGATTGACCAATGCCTGCCGCCATGATCACACTGCCAGCCGAGAAATGAGTTCCTCGAATCATTGTTACAATGATGGCAGTGAGGGGTGGCATTGGTAGGTGGGGCTAAGGGTGGAAGCAAAGGAGATGTTCAAACATTTCTGTTTTTAATAAACTGTGGTCCGATGAAAGGCAAGCACTGGTGATAATTGGATATGTGTAAGACTGCCCCATGTTATTATCAGACAGGATAGCAACTGAGAGGTATGAAGTTTGACCACTCCTTGCCGATCGGACTAGCGATTCTTGATCCCACGGGCTGGGCCTTTGAACTGTCCTCAGAGAAAGTTGCATTTGAAAATAGCAAAAGTTGCAAGAAAAATTAGCAAAAGTTGCAAGAAAAGTTGCGAGACGTGTATAGCTAAAACAATGCCAAAGAATTATTGGAATACATTGTTACTATGCTCATTGCAATCAAAAGTAACCAATATGAGTTTTGTTAGATCAAAATCAGAAGTTAAATGTGAATGTCTACAACAACAAAAAACTGCAAGGAGGTTGCATGGTGTACAAAAACAGTTTATACCCTGACACATTCGTCAGGTCCTTTAAC